CTTCTTCAGGAACTTCCAAGGTTTATATGATCGTGGGGATAGTCGTTGGCGTATTCACAGTCTCGGTGGCATTAATCATCTTCTTTCTTATCCTTAGCAGCAAGATTCCAATCAAGCCTTGGACCAACAGTGGCCAGCTTCAAGATGCTTTTATCACAGGCAAAACACATTCTTCAGTCTTCACTCTCTCTCTTCGTAACTTGAATTTTCTCTAATTTTATAGTTTTGCATTGCAGCAGATGTTCCGAGGCTGCAGCTATCAGAGCTACAAGCAGCATGCGAAGATTTCAGTAACATCATCGGCTCTTTCTCAGACGGCAACATTTATAAAGGGACTTTGTCTACTGGAGCTGAAATCGCCGTTGTGTCAGTCGCAGCAGGTTCTCGTGCAGATTGGTCCACCGCCATGGAATCACAACTGTTACAAAAGGTATCAGAACCACGTTTGCGATTGTCTTAAATAGAGAACAGAGATTGGCATTGCCATTGAAGAATAATCTTCTCTGTTTCTGCAGATGCATAAGTTATCCAAAGTGGATCACAAGAACTTTCTGAATGTGATCGGGTACTGCCGTGAGAACGAGCCCTTCAACCGAATGCTGGTTTTCGAATACGCTCCCAATGGATCCCTCTCCGAGCATCTGCACTGTGAGGATTCCATCCACCCAGCAATTCTTTTTTAATTCAACTAATTCCAATCTTTAAACTGTTTGAAACTGATCTTTTATGGCAGCTCAACACACAGAGCCCTTGGACTGGCCTACCAGACTCAGAATCACCATGGGAATAGCTTACTGTCTAGAGCACATGCACAATCTCAATCCACCCATCTTGCACACCAATTTGGACTCCTCTTCTGTCTACTTGAGTGAAGATAACGCCGCCAAAGTCTCCGACTTTTCAGTCATCAACTCCATATCTCCTTCTAAGGAAGGTTCCTCGAACAAGAACCTTCTAGAACCCTCATTACTTGATCCCCATACCAACGTCTTCAACTTTGGGGCTGTCGTGTTTGAAATCATCAGTGGAAAGTTCCCTGACTCGGATTCTTTGTTTCTCGAGCCAAAGCCCGCGAGAGATCTTGTGGACCCGACCCTGAAAACGTTTCAGGAAGATGTTGTTGAGAGACTCTTGGAAGTGGTTCGACAGTGTATGAATCCATACTCAGCACAGCGGCCAACAATGAAAGAGGTTGTGGTGAAGTTGAAAGAGATAACTGGAATAGAAGCCGATGCAGCAATGCCGAGGCTGTCTCCAAGATGGTGGACGGAGCTAGAGATCATATCCACATAAGGAAACTAAAAGAGAAGAGCCGTATTGTTAGGTGTCCCCTGTATATACACAAATGACACTGTGAAGTGATGATCATCTTTTTCTTCCTCTGCATTAAAAGACTAAATACTGTATATACGAAAAAGTTGGTTTTGCATAAAAAACCATTTACAAACAAGATTTATAAATTGCAGTTTCTTTACATCATTGATGTACAAAGAAGAAAAATGAAAAGGTATATTGATATTTGAATGAAATGTACAAAGGGGAAAATGTGGTTGATACCTAACCTTATAATTAATCTAAGCCAAAAATGGGGTTGTCAATGGACGAAGCTTGGTCCTTGGATCTGCTGTAGAGATGAAGCGTCTCAGTGTGATTAGGGTCCAAACACAGAGCAGCTTCGCAGTCTTGAGCGGCCAATGATAGCTTCCCCGTGGCCTCATGGAATGCTGCTCTGAGATGCAGCGTCTGTAGTTCCGGTCTGAAAGCTATCGCCTTTGATAGCTCTTCGACTGCTTCCGTCTCTCTCTGATCGTCCATCAGCACTGCCACAAACAGACAATCACTTCTTTAACTACAAGAATCTATAATATGATCATATACAGAACGGGAAGAGTTTGTTACCGGCAGCTCGGTATCTGTAGGGATAGGTTCGCAGAGGGTCGAGTGTTGTGGCCATGTCAAGATCCTCTTTGGCTTTTTCACGTTCACAGTACTCAGACCGTTTCTCGTAGGCTGCTGCTTTGCTACACGCCTTCTCAATCAACTTTGTCATCTCCACGCACGCTTCTTTTCGTTGATTCTTCAGGAAATAAACTCGCGCAAGCCCTTGATGTGCACGAGTGTGTTTGATGTCTAGAGCATTCTTATACGCGTTTTCAGCTTGATCTAGCATCCCGCAATCGATATAGATGCTCCCAAGATTGTTCAGTGCCTGCAAAAACATAACAAATATATTAATTGAAAAATATATGCGATTAAGAGAAAGAGCAAGGGGAATACTGAAATGATAACCTGTCCTTTGCGTAGCCCATCCGAAGGACACTTGAGGGCTTCCTCTAAAACCTGAACAACACAAGAGGTCCCATCCGGATCGAGATTCTTGTCAGCTAGAACATAGGCTTTGAGGAAAAAAGCTTCAAAGGAGCGTTGAATGGAGATTGCTTTCTCGGCTTTAGCAAGAGCTTCGTCCACGTGACCCATGTCATATAGAAGCCACCCTTCGTAGACCAATCTCTCTGCCTCAGAAACAGCTAAGCTCCATGCCGTTCGCAAACTCCTCATCGCGGCTCCTTGACAATTCAATCTGTCACAAATCACAATTCAATGTAGCTTTTATCATCTCCTGAAAAAAAATCATCAATCACGGTTTGCATGAGAAACCAAAAAAGAATCTTCTTACCTTAACAGTAGAAGAGACTGTCTAAACCTCAGAAAGTTTTTGCTGGGATCATTCTGAAGCATCTGATGAACAACAGCCAAAGACCCAACATCATCCACGGCTGACCACCTCTCGTAAAGCCTCACCCAACAATCCGCTTCGCTGTCTACCTCAATGCATTGCCTGGTTAGAGCCTCCATCAAATCATCTCTCATTCTCCCACCGAACAAAGTATATTTGGGATCTAAGCACAGCACTGCTCTAAGATCTCTCAAACAACTCTCACGGTCACCAATGGCTAGAAACAGCCAAGCCCTCAGTTCGAGACAATCTGGAGTAAGCTTGAACTGAATAACTCTATCAACCTCCTTGAAGGCTTCTTTAATCTGCTTCTGTTCGAAATTCATCACGGCTCTGTACTTGTATGGAAAAGTCAGTGTCGGGTCAAGTTCAGAGGCAGTTGCTAGATCTTTTAGTTTCTCAACCCCGACATTGTACAGAGACCTCTCCTGGTACATCCACCCAAGTGGCTTGTGATTAGAGATGAGAAAATGCATTAGCTTATAGGCCGAATACCTCTGCCCTTGTTTATATTCGGTCCTCGATACCCCGGCCAATGAGTAGACGTGGCCTAAGCTTGAAGCTAACCTGAAGTGAAACTGAGCTGCTTTGTAATCCTTTCTCTCAAACAGAACACATCCCATTTGATGCAAAGCCACAGCCTTTTGCCAGTTTGTTCGAGCAAACTCTCGAGTTCTATCTAGCAAAATCAGCATAGCCTCCGTGGTGAGTTTCTCTTCCATGCCTACTTGGCTGAGGAAGTAGTATAACAGGAACAAACACTCTGAACCTAGAAAAGCTAATTGTTCTTTTGCTTCAGAGCTGCAGAACAATCTCATCACTTTGGAATTGTGGAGAGACTGAGGAAGCTCTCTCAGAAACACCTGCAAGCAAGCAGTTAAGAGAAGCTTTGTACGTTCCTCCAACGCATACTCTACAAAGGTTAATGCTTTATCGAGGTCAGTGACAGATGAAGCCAAGCGAACCTCACACGCAGACTTCAGATCGTCACAACAGAACTTGCTGGCTAATCCAAGCAACTCAAAGACAGTTTCAACACGAAACAAATCAACTCTTTTGATCCTACTGTATATGTTAAGCGCCAACATTGCCTCAATCGAGATACCATTCTCGGAGAAATCGATCTCCGAAGATCTTGATTCAACAAAAGAACCATATAACATCGCCTCAAAAGGCCGCGAAAGCGCCGCGATTCGCGACCTGACACACTTAACCTTCTCTAAACCTACGCAGAAGGAAAAATCACTATCCTCTTCTAGACCCGAAAACTCATCATCAGCCCTAGAGATTCTAATGTCATCACTACAAAACTCTTCCTCACACACCGTAGAGCATTTACAATGCTCGTTGACTAGATTCAAATCATGACCATGAATCAAACTAGTCTTTGGACATTCAATAGCAAACCCATTACAATCCATAGATTCAACTCCCACGAGTTCGTGTTCTTTCTTCTCAAATCTCAACCAAGCAGATAAAACAACCTTACAAGGTACATCAATGGCGTGCCTCCTTGCGTTGAGCAAACACCTACGCAAGAGCTTGGCGTCGCCGAGACTACGGAGAACAGTGTATTGCTCGAGGTAGAGCATCGATTTCTCCGACTCCGAACTTGATTCGATTCTCCGGTATAGATTCGATAAGGACTCAACCAAGTCGATGGGTTTGAGGTAAGAGTCCAAAGGAGGCTCGAGGAGGTCCGTGGTGGGGAACCCGTGAGGGAGAAGTGAACGAGAGATGGATTTGGGATGACCTAGGAACTTCTTCATTCGAGGGCTACCATTGTTGCTTGTAGAAGGAGAGTCTTGTGAATTAAAAGCGTGGATTTGGGTGCTCTTGAATCTCTCAAATAGTTTTAGATTCCGCATACTGTAATCACATAGAAATTCGAGAAATGGGTTTGAAGAAGAACAAAGAAACAAATCAA